ACAGAAGTGTGGACAACAGTTTACTAAGAAGGCAGCCTTCGGTGTGACAAATCAGAGTGGGCTGCTGGATTGTGCAGTTCTCACGAGCTAGGCGGCTTAGAAATAGCACATACCATTGCACTGGGCAATTGATTCATTTCTTGTCCTGTCTTGCTAGGCAGGGTGTCACATGCCAAGCCAGTCAGACCCACAGTCCATCCAGGCCAGGGAAAGTGTTTGTCCCAAATACCCTGGGAAGTACCCCCAGCATCCCTTGAATCTTATTACTCTATCATGCAGGAATACAACACTTCCTTGAGATTATTCATACTTTTAGTTTACTTAACCTCTCACAGCCAAGAGACTGCAGTCTGTAGAGAGTTTAGAGTCAGCAAATGAGCTTCCAGATCATCAATCCCAATACTGTTTTTTAACAGAATGTTAAAAACCAACAAATATATTGATATCTGTTGGGTACGAAGAAGCAAGGGGTTAGATACTGTTGGAGACATAATTAAGACGTCATTCCTATCTAAGATAATCGAATTCATGGAAACAGAGAGTAGAATGGTGGTTGCCAGGGGCTGGGGGGAGGGGGAAATGTTAATCAAGGGTACAAAGTTTCAGTTATGCAAGATGAATAAGTTCTGGAGATCTAACGGCATGGTGACTACAGATAACAATACTGTATTGTATACTTGAAATTTGCTTAGAGGGTAGATCTTAAGTGTTCTTACCACAAAAAAAAAAGAAAGAAAAAAGGAAACGGTAACTATGTGAAGTGATGGATATATTAACTAGCTTGATTGTGGTGACCATTTCCCCATGTACACATATACCAAACCATCAAGTTGCATACCTTAAATATATACAATTTCTATTTGTCAATACACCCCCAGTAAAGGTGAAAATAAAACAAATAAAACATAGCAAAACCTTCACAAAAAAAAAAAGGTGTCTCTCCTGGACTTAGGTTGAGCATAACCTTAAGTAAGAGTACAGCCTAAGCTTATGCCAGAGGCTAGGAGGCCAGCAAAGCTGCTTGGCAGACAAATTAGGATTCAGTTTGTCTTTGACAAAAGAGACGTCAAATGGCAGGGCGAGATAATTGCTGTATTCGTGATTTAAAGTAGGGACTTCCATGCCTACCTGCTGTTCCTGTGGTCCTCAATACAAATAGGACCACAGGAAAAGCATGTAGGCTTGTGAGAAACATCCCCATCTGCAGATGAGAAAACTGAGAGTGGAAAGAATTTGAGTGACTTGGAAACACTTGATAAAAGGCAGAGCCAGGATTTCATTCTGTGTGCTTTCCACACTGCAAAAGCTTCCTGCCAGGTGACTGAGGGCTTCAGTTCAGAGGAGGGAGAAATCGTGAAGCTGAGCTGGGCTGGAAGGCTCAAAGGGGCAAGCCCATCATTTGGTCCACCAATAATTATTAAGCACCTACTCTTTGAGAAGCATTATTCTGAGCAAGACAGAGAAGATCCCTGTCTAGGTGGGGCCTGTGGAGGAGGACTTAAAGAGATAGGGGGAGAGAGGAACAGGGGAAAGGACACTGCAGGTGTACGACTCATTCTCTTAAGTGATCCTGGCTCACCCTCACATACTTGCCTAAAACGCCACCACCTCTCTGTCTCCAGTATGGTCTGGGACCACTTCCCATTTGCTGTTCCACCAACCCTTGCTTTGCTGTCCTGATTTCTGGACTCCCACTTTGCACCTTGCCCCCATGGCACTCTCTTCCCCTCAACCCCTCAGATGGTCAACTCACCTGGGTCTGCTGTGCGCCTCCAGATCATATTCTACGTACCGCATCTGCAAGTAAGAGGCCCTGGGACAGCACACTCCCTAAAACCCCTGTGGGAATCACCCTAGCTGAGCTGGCCCCACTCACTCACCATCTCACAGGGGAAGAGCAGCTAGACACAGAAAATGCCACAAGAATTTTTTGAGAATGACTGAACCCACATGCTGGAGTGAGAATGACAGATTTGCCCATTAACTTACACACACACACATACACACACGCAAATCAATTGCCAAATATGTGTCTGCGTGTGTGTGTATCAGATAAAACTTTATTTTCCCTTATTAGAATGGAAGCTCTAAGAGCAGAGATTTTTAACTGTTTTTTTCTCCAGAAGAGGGTCCTAGCCCCCATGAGCACATTCTGAATGAAGGAATCTGTGCAGCGTGAGGAAGCCTTTCACAGGGAGACATGTCTGCGCTGAGATGTGCTTGGATGAACCTGCTCTGGGGCAGAAGTGAGCCTCCTGGCCTGGGTGCCAGGCTGATGCCCCAGCTCCATGAAGTAGTGGGAAACCACTCTTCAAAATAAGGGGATGGGAGGATTTGGATGTTACAGGAGATAAAAAACATCCAGGAGAGAACGGAGAAGGTGGGAATTGGGCTCAGAACTGCTCTGGGGAAGAATCATGGGAAAAGAAGGCCCCATTGAGGGCCCTGCAGGAAAGGGGTGAGGAGGAGAAGAAATTTGTCTAACAAATTTTATGAACCATATTTTGAGCCATATTTTGAGTATTTTGAACCATATTTTGAGTATTATGTGGTGTAAACCTCCTCATGTGACTCCCCTGGACTCCTTCTCTTGTGGAGTTGTAATCAGTGGAGAACGTAGAAGAGCTCAGAGCAGAAGGCAGTGACAGCTGACAGCAGGCTTCCATCTATAGCTTGTGGGCTCTGATATAAACTCACAGGTGCCCCCCCAGGGCCTGGCAGGGACCACAAGTCAGCGTTTACAGAGCAGACGCTGCCATGGCCCAGCTTGACCCTCTTCTTCCACACTCTTCTCTGTGTTCCACACTGTTCTTGTCCAGTGCTGTTGGACTGGGATGGGCATTGTTCTTGTTTTAGGACCCTTATTAATATTTAAATCCATTAATTCGGTCTCTGCTAATGTGGTTACTCTCAGGTACCAAGTGTTCACCAACTGGGTTTGAAGTTTAGATGGTTCTCCAAATGTATTCTGAAAGATCTCTAAGATGACTACATGTGTCTTTCTGCCATCTGTATTACCTGCTACCTTGCAATGGTTAGAGACTTCTACCTTCTTTTTTGACAGAAAGAGCCCCTTCCTGATCGGAGTCCAATGGGAACCTGCATCTCCATAATATAGCACCATAACTCTTCCCGCTTAAGCTTAGAAATGTATGTTCCCACAGCAGAAGCCTTGGGGAGTTATCATAACCATTCCAGGCCCAATAAGGAGTACAGCCTTCAGAACTCGCTTCAAAGAATACATGAAGATTCACCACTTTACTCTGGTGCATTTCTGGGACTGAACACCAAATGATTACTGGATAGATCAGCTCAAGTTATAAACTTAAGTTTGATTAAAAGAGGAGTAAATGTTGAATTAACAGGTAACTTGGACTATAAGTTCTGCTGTTCTTGCATGGGCTTTCATTTTTCCTGTGAGCGTGGGGTGTCATGGTCCGAGATGCTGTTGAAGAGGTGTCCCAGACCACGAGTCTCTGGATCTAGACCCGAGCCAGCATGCCTAACTGCCATGCAGAGCCTTCTGAGAACCCATGTTCCAGACTTCAACATGATAAAACCCTGCAGTTAAGAAGAATGAAACCCCAGTGGCAGCCACTCAGCCATCCAAGTGTGGCTAAGCAAGTTCCGTGCTGGAAAAAAATGGAGTGTCTTCCACAGAAAGACAACAGATGAGATATCTGCATTTATCCTTCCTGTGTTCAAACTTGTAGAAATTCTTTTTTTTCTTCGGAGTTACTTAAATGGACTTCATTTTCCAAGTAGGTAGAGTCCGCCGCCTCTTTTATTGGGCCAGATTACTGCATTGCCAGGACTCAATAGCTAGCGCAAAAGGTTAGCTTTCGCCGTCAAAGTCTGAGTAACGTGTTGGCAGCTGGTAGAGACGCTTCCCAGGCGTGGGGAGCTCAGAGCGTCATCTTGCAATGAATTCAGGCAGTGGGTTAGTCTTCATTCCCGAGCTGCTGGAGCCTCCTTGCCTTGCAGCCAACACAAAGCTTGAGGTGCATTGTCCATTACAGCTAGTGGCCATCAGCTGACGTTCATCTAATCCCCAGGGAGTCTGTGTGTGTGAGGAGCATCTACAAAACCCCCTCTAAGCTCTCTTAACTGCTATGGAAACCTGGACACTCATTAAACTGGCTTCTGACAATTCTGCCTGAAGAAATCAATCAGACCAACTCTTCTCTGCTATTGGGAAACAGCTCCTGGTTTTGGGTTCCCTAGGTCCATCCTTTTCCACCCTCCCCTTAAGTTAGGCAACATTTTCCATTTCTGAGGACTTGAGAACCACAGTTTACTATGACAATACCGAATCATTACAAGACAACCACTATCTTGGGTAGACAGCCCTTACAAAGAACGCAGGGAACTCTTTCACAATAATAATCAGTAACATGCATTGATCACTTACTATATGTCAGGTATAAATGTTCTATTTGAGTTATCTCACTTAATTCTCACAATTTAAGTCTCACAAGCCATATAAGTTGAGTTGTTGCCTGAGACTAAGAAAGGTTGAGTAGCTTTCCCACAGTCACATGGGTAGTAACTGGGGCTCCAACACCTGATTTCTCTTATTCTAGCTCCTGCGCTCTTGCTCTCGTTTCTGGGAGGTGGGCTGCTGCCACTATGAAATCCCTTTTACTGGTAGGGCAACTCAAGGTAAATGACCTGCCCAATAGATAAGGTCAACCAGGTGGTAGTTCCCAACCCTGATTGCTCGTTAGGATCAATTGGAGAGTTAAAAACACAACAACAAAATGCCCAGGCTGCATCCTTAACAAATCTGATTTAATTGATCTGGGAAGGGGCCCCAACATTAGTATTTTTAGAAAGCTTCCCAGGGGGTTCTAAAAAATGCAGTCAGGTTTGAGAATCTCTGACAAATCTACCAACTCCCAGTGCAGAGTTTAACCAACCAAAAAGCTTCACTGATCTCATATCCCCACCGGTCCAGCTGGAGAGTGCCTAGGGGGTACAGTTAGGTCACCCTGACATACCTGAGAGAGCTGAGAACGCTTGCTCAGTTTGCTCATCTGTAAAATAAGGAGAATGAAAGCTTGCAGAACTACTGATTACATCTGAGCTTGTAAAATGCTCATCCTAACACAGGGTAAGTGCTCAGTGAATGGCAGTGGGGTGGAGACAGTTGTCACCATCTTAAGGGCAGTTGTTTCTGAACCTAGTCCAGATCTCACAGCCCAAGGGCAGAACCTCATCAGCCATAGGCACTTGGAACAAGTGCCATCACTTTTGTCAAACTCTAACTCCTTCGAGTCAGTCCTGGACACACACACACACACGCACACACACACTCACACCCCAGCATCTTCACACCTACGTATGTGTCCAGGAAGTGGCCCCTTCAGCAACGTTCTGTGTGGATAAGCCATGATGACAGATAAGTGAGGCATCCTGGGGTTATCAGTGGAATCATTGCAGTTTGCACTGTAGCTCTGAGTATGCAGAGGTCCACGGCAGGACCTCCCAACATGGAGGAAACACAGAGAGGAATCTCTTATTACTCACTTGCCTAATCATTTCCACTTAACACACAGTGAAAGCAGAACTTTGTGACACGCTCTGTCTGGGCAAAAAAGTTCTGCTTTTTCTGGGAGATCTTGGAAAAAGAAAAAGTCCCAAAAACTTGGCCATGAGGGAGGGAGAGCTTCTCAACATTTCATCCACTCAACTAGTGTCCGTGGTCAGTTTCCTCACCTGAGAGCCATTCGTCTGTGTGCCTGGCACTGTCCTTGGGACCAAGACCTGAGCACAAGTTAGAGATGTCACTGCCCTGGAGTTGGCAATGGTCCTGGGGAGAAAACAGTTAAAGAGGCAACACCAGGGCTACCAATTAGGGCCCCTTTTCTGGGATACCTAAAAACCTTTCTATTCTGTCAGTGAGCACCCTGTTTCAGAAATCTCATGGCAATGTTGATATTCAGCCAGTATGCACCAGTATAGCCAGAATGGATACTGAACTATATTTGAAACACTTCTGAATCAGTTGGCAAACTGCTGTTGCCCTGACCATCCCCGCTGCCTGCCCCCCACCACCACCTCGAAAATGCAGCACTGAAAGGGTTAACGCCTGACACACAAGAGGTCCCCAGGACAATGCTCTAGCACCACCCCAGCCTTCTGATTGGTTAGTGCCTGTGGTGAACATGTTGTCCAATGTTCAGAACTTGACCTCTGCCTCTTGGTAAGTGGCAGCTCTAGAGTTCTTAGAGAGAGGTCTTAGGGTAATCTACTTGCAAGTTAGAGATTAGGGACCTATCTTGAAGCTGCACATGTACAGCAAGTTCAAGGATGTTACTTAGATTGTATGTCTATTTCGGATAGCTTAGGGTTGCTGATGGCTATTTTAAGGGCCTAAAGTCCTTACCTATACAAACCACTTCTGAGGAATGCTCCTACTCTAAATTTAAAATTAGGATGCCTACATTTCCAGGAAGACCCCACACACACAAAGAAAAAGAAAACTAACTCAATATATGGAATTCCAAATGAATACATTAAGAAAATAGTTTCCATTTAGAAAGATTAATAATAGGTTTCTATTATATGTGAGCCGTCCCCTGACCGGGAAACGTATCAGGAATTAGCAAAATATGACACAGCCCCCATAGTTTGCACATGAGAGCCAGCTCTGATGGCTGCCTCCAAAAGTTACTATGTCCTACTAGGACAGTAGCATTGCCCAGGGAGTGCCCAAGAAATGATGATTTAATGATGGACAATGTGGTCCCCATGCCTGAACCCTCAGACTCACTCCTTGCTCTTTCCCTGCTCTGCTCTGTGTCACGTCCCCTAACCCCACATTGTCTCTTGGCTTCCTAATGGGCCTAACCAATGGAAGCCGATTGAAAGGTAACTGGAGAGCAGAGTTAGGGGGAAGCCAGAGTATTTCTCCTCCTTCCTCTCTGCCTCAGGCAATACCCAGGGCTACAATCTATAACTGCGAAAGTACCAGCTCCCATAGGACAAAGCTGCCAGCTTCTACCAGGAAAATGGTCCCAAGGCTCTTGCAATTCTATGTCTTCTGGCTTTTTCTCTCTGGCTTTCAGCTCTTGGTGGTAATCTTGGGTTGCCTCACTGGCTGGCTCCTGTTGGCTTGTCTGCATACCCATCATTTGGCCAATTCCCTGAATAAAATTCCCTCTGTTCCATTCTGCATGGTTTCTCTTTTCCCAGTTGGACTCTGACTGATACACTGACTAACTGGGCTCTTCAGAGCATTCCTTCCCCTCTCCAGTCCTCAGTTTCCTTGTTTGTAACTGAGACTGGAGGAGGCACTTAGCAAGCTCCCTGGTATCTAGCAATGTGGGGCCCTGAACACTGGGGGACCTCCAAGGATTGAAATGCCTTTTGCACTTCAGGATGGTCTAGAAACAAGTACCTCATTTTGTTTTTCCTGAAGTCATTTTCATTTTGAACTGCAGCTTCAAATTCTTTCTTTGGAAACAGGCAGGGTAAAAATATTAAAGAATGTATTTTGAACTATGCCATTTTAAAAGCAATAGGTTCACTGTCTCTTTCTTATGCATTTCACAGTTTGGCATTTCCTTATGTTTTCTTTAACTATGTGCTGGAGGTTTAAATGGTTTTTCTCTCATCTTAATACTCTGTCATTTGGTGATATGACGTGTTGTGGTTGTATTCCCAATTTTTCTTTTTGCTTTAAAAAATTTTTTTTTTAATTTTAGATTTTGGCCATATAAATCATCATCTTTATGGATTGAGAGATTCTCATCATTTAGTTTTTCCTCAAGCCCCCATCTGTGCCCTGGATCATTTTAACTGCCTTTCTCTACATCCTTGGAAATACTTAGATGTTTCCTATGGCTGCTATAGGTGAACACTCAGAAGATATGCATGGCCTTGAGATTTAGGTGGAAAATGCTTCTGTTGGTTTCCCATTTTCCTTCTCTAAACACTATGTTGTATGCAGCCCCTCACCTCTACATTGACCCCATTCCCCAGGCAAGGTCCCACTAAGCCTGGCATGGAACAGCCCCTGTGGTCCTTGCTGGGCCCTCTGGAGCAATTTTGGCGGCAAGGCCTGTGGACTTCCTCAGCTGCCTCCCAAGCTTCTGGAGAGGCAAGACTCAGGCAACCAGAGAGCTAGAAGCATGTGTCATTCATAGCCAGATCCTTGGCAGGAGTGATTCAGCAGGCAGTGACGCATCAGCTTCTTAGAACTGGATTCTGAGAGGAAGGAAGGATGGCTGCACATGTGGCCTCATAGAAGCCACCCAAAGGGTTTGGAATCAGATATGGTTCCATTGAATACTCAATGTGAAAACTTCTGTAATAATAATGATCAACAATATTTGTTAAGCTCTAACTATATGACATGCACTGTGCAGAGTTTTCCTGCATGCATTATCTTATTTAATTCAAATAGTCATATGGTATAGATTTTACAGATGAGGAAACAGGCTGAGAGCAATTAAGCAACTTGACCAATATCATATAACTAGAAAGTGACAGAGCCAGGAAATCCCCCAGGTCTATCTGCTTTTGCAGTCTCTCTGCCACACTGCAAGTGATTTAAATTTTCTAAGCATCAGTTACCTTGTCTTTCTCATTAAGATATTAATATGACTATCTTACAGTATTATTTCACATTTTCTCCCTCTGTCTCTCTTTCTCATCTAACATTTGCTGAGTTTAACATTTGTTGAGTTTCTATTTTATCTATGCACCGAGTTACATCTGGGTAACAACAGGATTTGCTAGCTAAAAAACAAACAAAAAATCAAGTAGTTTTAAATAATTCAATAAGTGTGCAAAATTTACTGGCTGAGTGGAAGTCTCTCTTAGGTGGTACATGGGCCTGGACTCAAATGGGTCCTCAAAACACACGTAAAGAATTCAGAACACTGTAAAACAATGGAGGCACGTTCTCCCCTGCCCCTCACACACCCTGTTCGCAAGTGTGGAGTACTGGAGTAGCAGAGCAGCTGCAGGAAAGGGCCCCAGTCTGAGCAGAGAGCAACTCAAAGGGCACAAGTGAAGGCATCAGATCTTGCCTGTGTCTTATTCGATCCAAGGCTCTGATGGAGAACTGCAGGTCCTGAGGCAGTGGGCTGGCACCAGAAAGTTATTTGGAGGTGGCTGGAACCAGACCAGCAGTAGCAAGACAGCAATCCCTTTCCATTTGAGAATTTAACACTCAAGATCTCAAGAGTTGAGGAGTATACTGAGGGGTCTTGAGGGAGAGAGGGATGGGAGGTTGGGTAGAGTACGTGAGCAATATTTTGCAGGGCCACCATTTTACTCGCTCTCTCCTGAAAATAAGTGCATCTCCTGGTTGCCTATACGGAGGAACACTTTAGATGCATGAAACCAAACTTGTTTATTAGTGGGGGGACAAGCCGTCAAGGAAAGAGATAACCTGAATGAGGGAACTTGAAGCAGAAGTTGGTAACAGCTCTGACTTTAATGGAGAGATGAGCCTGACAATGACTGGGGCTAGAGCAGGAGCCAATAAAACATTTCTGTACTCAACTCTCTAGGCTTTGCTGCCTTATCTGATTATCTGGGTGATACTCCCAGTGTTCTGCAGGAGGGTGAGGGGACACCTGGTTGCCTTCACGATAGATGTGTCTCAGCAGGAGGTCACAGGTATGGACCATAGATTGTACATTCCTCTAGAGTCCAAATCAGACAAAAGCATATTAAAAGTTTGTCTTCTCTGATCTCTGGAGGTGGAAGCCTTCAAAGGGAAAGAGCAATCAATTCAGAGCTTTGGAAGCACAATCAATTATATACTAATCTGTGATAAATTTATGTTCCTCTTAAGTAGACGGTATCACCACCTGGCTTTCTTAAGCATTTTGTCAACATTATCTGTGTCTTTGCCTTACTTACAGCTCACAGCAGACAGAAACTGGAAGGAGAAGGCTTTCAAAAACAACCGCCATCACCCACAGCAAGAACTTAATGGGCCTCTAGAAAGAGTAGAAGCCAGGGAAAGCAGCATTTTAGGCAGGCCTTCACAATGTTTAGACTATTTTCCACTAGTCTTCGAAGTAAAGCCATCTTTCCCCAACAGAGAATAGGGAGTCTTGGGAAGACGGGTGGGGAGGAGAGACAAATGGGGAATGATAGAAGAGAGAGAGAACAGGAAGAGAAGCATTATTTAGGGAAATATTCCTAGCATAGCAAACACGCCCATACTCAAACTAGCTCGCCTGAACGCCCCCTTCTCTGAGGAGACTTCCTGGAGTCTCTGGGGTCACTACTGCCTTCTTTAGAGGGCCGTAGCCCTCTCCTTGCCCTCTATTCTTTACTGAATTGAAACAATTAATTTCAACATCTGTCCTCACCTTTAGATTCTGAACTTCCCAAGAACAGGGAAACATGCCTTCCATGTGTTGATACTGCCTGTGCCCATCACTGTGC